TTCTTCTGGGCATCTAAAACAGCACTCAGTTCTGGAGAAATAGAGGTGCTGGCTCCTGCTGAGTCTTCCACAAGGATGAGAGCAACACAAATAAAAGCGAGTCACCTCCAGAAAAGAGCACCAAGAGGACGAATTAGCATAAAACAACTCCTAAATACCCTGTTCAAAACCCCTAGAGAGTTCATACCGACGAGAGAATATTTTTCCGCTAATTTCCAAACCGCGGAAAAATTCTATTCCTAATCATTAAATGCAAAGTAACTTAAGGCTATACAAGCCAATGTTTTCTTCTTGTATTCAGTGATTATGTAAGCGCAAGAAATTTATGTAAAAATAATGTTACAGTAGTGCTCTTTGTATTGTCGAAAGGAATAGCGGCCATTGATGGTAGCATTCAAAGGTAGTAATTATAGATTGTATAGTTTATTGTAAGTAGATAAATGTTTAGTAGATAATTACTAGATTGCAAATAATGGAGCTGAGAGGAAATAAATCGGCTCAAAAAAAATATATAGTTCGTGTAAATAATAAAACAGCAATGTTCACAAACGATTGGGCGCCAGTCAAAAGGTGTATTTCCTAGAAATTGACAGCCACTGGAAAGGTAAAACAAAGAGAAATTCGTCTTTGACAGGAGCCATAATCGGGGACGGAGACCGCAAGTTTCGGGATTCGCGGGCACCTATGATATGGGACAATTTTTCTATTTTTAGAACAAATTGCGCCATCCTGACGTCATATACCCGCGCGGATTCACGCACATGNAAATAAATGATAAATAAATAAATAAACGAATAAATCATAAGAAAAAGAGAGTAAAAATAAAAATAAAATAAAAGCGAGTCACCTCCAGAAAGGAGCACCAAGAGGACGAATTAGCATAAAACCACTCCTAAATACCCTGTTCAAAACCCCTAGAGAGTTCATACCGACGAGAGAATATTTTTCCGCTAATTTCCAAACCGCGGAAAAATTCTATTCTACAGTTTAGTTTAAGAGTCAGTTTATCTGCTTATGTTCCAATATTCTGGGAACAACTTTTAAACGTTATCGCTTCTGCATGCACTGCGCGCCTTTTATTTTTACCCCTCTCAAGAGAAAAGTCTACTTTCCTCAGAAATATTAAAAACACCACTGATTGACGAAGCTCCGAAGCTCTCTTCAACAGGGGTGTGTTGATATAAATTGACATGGCCCAGCAGTTGCAAAAATAACACGAAAAAGCTTTGAGGTGAACAAACAAAACTGTAAACAATTGCTTTGTTATGTACGTTAAAGATTGACATCGTTCACTAGCTTTCACTTGTGAAAGTGACTGTGTTGATATCTATAAGTTAAGTCATGTTAATCCGAACGAATTAAAATATATATATAATTAATTAATTAATTAATTAACATAACTAATTAAAACGAGCTTTATATCATGCCATGTGCCTATCGTGTTGCGTAACACAAGTATACGAAATAGACACTTCCAGCTTTCAAACACTCGCCAGTAGCCTACAGTCATGCTCCGCTGCAGATCAGCCAACGCCAGCGTTGTCTTAGTTGATTGAGAGTCGGGATTCATCTGCATGGACCACAAAATGGCGAACTCTATCTGTAGTTTGGGCATGGCTGTCTCACAGATATTCCATTTCGAGCAGTAAAGCCGGCACCACTGTCTTATTTACAAGTGTTGTCACAGTTGAAAAGATGAAACCTCAATGACTGCATCTCCATTTCTTTACTAATTACAATAATGAGTTTTTTTCCGGAACAATAGTTTTTCTCTGAATTTCGTGAATAAAAGCTAGCTTTTGTAACGGTAATAATTCTTAGAATTGGTCACGAGCTCAGAACCAGAGAATGGAGGAAGAAAGGCCGGAAGACTCTGTCTCTTTGATTCATTGCATTGAGAATCTCGATAGGACTTTACACCTGGTTGGAAGGACATGTTTGTGCAGTCGTGGTTTGTCGTAGACTACGAAAACTTCGCTCTATCGTTGTAAAGCCCCTGGGTTCGAATTCTAGAGAAATGGACAGTTCTACGAGATCGATGAAATTTCATCTGTTCAACTGTGATAATACGTACAAGTTAGATTCAGTCGAAAATTTGCTACGTAATATGAAAAACAAATATGACTTTGATTTTGGT